CAGGCGAAAATTTTGAGGATTTTGAAAGATCCTTAAGCCAAAAATCTTCCCTTTTCAGCGCCGCAGGCGAAAATTTTGGGAATTTTAGAAGACCAAGAGGCCAGATTTCTTTATTTTTTATAAATGGAAATATAATTTTGTCAGAAAAATCCATTCCTAGGGGTGTAAAAATTTCCCGACTTAGTCGGGAATTGACACCGGGAGTCGGGATCGGGAGGCCAAAAACTCGGGAAATTTTCCCGAGTAGGGAGTCGGGATCGGGATACCCGAGCATCACTACCGGACTGATGTGTTAGCCATTATACCACGCCTACTGCACAGCCTTAGGAATTAAATAGCTATATGCTTTACAATATTTATTTTAGTTGATGTTGATTCTGATGATGCTGGACTTAAATTGTGGGATCAAATTTTTGGAAGTTTACAGGATCCTCGAAATAATAAATAAATTGAGGAATTGAAGAATTTTTAAAGAAAAGATTAGAATTGACAAGAAAATTTCACGACATTTATTTAAATTTTTTTAATATTTAAAATTGATATTTGTATTTTATTTGTATATTTTTGTATTTTATGTACATAGTTGATTAAATAAATTTATTTTTTAAAGGTTTTTAAAGAAAATTTTAAAAAGACTTTTGCAATTTGGAAAATAAATTTTAATAGAAGAAAGTAAGCAAAAGTCGCTTTATAAATTTTTTATTAGAATACACAACATCTTTATTGATCAAAAAGGAAATAGAAAGAATTGATTGAATAAAGTGAAAGTATGTAAAATGTTTTTCAAAGTTTTTAATTAAGCTTTTTTTAAATATATACATACATATGTAGCTTAAGAAGGTTTTTAAATAACGTTATTCTTTAAAGATTAAAATTCTAGAAATTTGAGCTTTAAATATTTTTATCGATATTTTTATTCTTCGACATGATCTCTATTAATTAATATTTTAGATAGGCGCGGGACGGGATCCCACACGGGATTTTACGGGATCCCGTCCCGAAATCCCGTGTTTTGCGCGGAAAACGGGATTACAGTGATTACCGGGATTTACGGGATAAATCCCGCGGGATCCCGTCCCGTAATGAATGTTGAAAAAAATCCCGTTACGGGATCCCGGGAATGCGATTTTACCGATCTCTCATGTAAATATTAAGAATTGATAATAAATTAAAAATATTATTAACGCTTTTTTGGCATATTTTTATGGCGTTCTGTTTTTTTTGTATTTATTTAATATTGATTATTTTGGTTTTCTTGTTTGAATTTTTTTCCAAATTAAAATATTTTTCAATTTAATTTCTACATAGATTTATTTATTTAAAAAATGAGTGATACTGAAAGTAACAACGGGACAATTAAAACGAGTAATAATGTTCGTCTTAAAGCAAGTATTTGCAATACTTGGCTTCGTAAAGGTTATTGTCCGCGTGGATTGGCTTGCATTTATGCACACGGAACTGATGAACTTCAGGATGGGTAAAAGAGAAATTTTTTTAATTTAAAATGTTTGAAATTTTTGTACGGTCGTTTACGCCAAGTAATTTATATAACAGGGATTTGGTTTTGATAAAAATAAATCCCCCCTTAGATCCTGATATGTAGAGAGCGAGCTGGATCTGGATCCAGACCTTGATTTTTTCTGGATCCAGAGTCAAGATCAAGGCACTTTTCAGTGTTCCTTGATTTTTCCTTGTCTCAAGGTTAAGAATCTGGTCAAGGTACCCAACCGAAATCAAGGTCAAGGGTTTTTTTTGAAAATCTCGCTCTCTACTGTTATGTAACTACTCTAATGATTTTTTTCAACTTCATTGAATTTCTGATTCTTTACATAATTTTGAAATTTGGGTTTTTATGATTTTTAAAATCTGCAATAAAAAAATTTTTTTAGAGAATCTGAGGAAAAGAAACAGCCAACAGTCATTTGCAAATATTGGTTTACTACTGGATGGTGTCGAAGTGGGGACTCTTGTCGTTTTCTGCATCCACTTAATGACAAACGAATTCAAAATGATGAAAATTTGAAAGAAATTGAAAATAAAGTTGTTGATTCTTCTGCAAATGTTAAAGATGAGAACTCTTCTGTTCGTGGAGGGAAAAAGGTTTTTTGAATTTTTTTGAATAAGGATTATAATTGGATGAAATTTTGGGAGTAATTTATCGTTTTATTTTTTTATTTAAAACCAGCGTTCGGCGCGAATTGCTGACATGTAAATAAGCTTTTTGGGTATAAAGGCTGACTCCAGCGTTATTACAACTGATTTAAACTAATTTGGATCAATTTCCCAGTATTTGAAAATTTCAGACTCAAATGTCCATTCTCAAACTCAAGTGACACCTTTGAAAATATTTTCATTCAACTCCTCATTCAATTCCCCATCGAATGACACCTCAACCATCTTTCTATAACTAATACTTCAAAAGTTATAAACTTTTGAATTTAAGTCATAAATAAACATGCGGGCCTTCGGCCCGCATGTTTTCTGCTACACGTTCCGAGTTAAAAAATATTTTCAATTTTTTCCGGCAACGCGTTATCTGCAACGCGTTCCGAATTTTTATTAAAAAATTTTCAAGTCTGGCGGTTGCCTCCGGCAACGCGTTTTCTGCAACGCGTTCCTAATTTTTAGAAAAAAATTTTCAAGTCTGGCGGTTGCCTCCGGCAACGCGTTCCGTATTTTAAAAAAATAATTTTCAAGTCTGGCGGTTGCCTCCGGCAACGCGTTTTCTGCAACGCGTTCCTAATTTTTAGAAAAAAATTTTCAAGTCTGGCGGTTGCCTCCGGCAACGCGTTCCGTATTTTAAAAAAATAATTTTCAAGTCTGGCGGTTGCCTCCGGCAACGCGTTTTCTGCAACGCGTTCCTAATTTTTAGAAAAAAATTTTCAAGTCTGGCGGTTGCCTCCGGCAACGCGTTTTCTGCAACGCGTTCCTAATTTTTAGAAAAAAATTTTCAAGTCTGGCGGTTGCCTCCGGCAACGCGTTCCGTATTTTAAAAAAATAATTTTCAAGTCTGGCGGTTGCCTCCGGCAACGCGTTTTCTGCAACGCGTTCCTAATTTTTAGAAAAAAATTTTCAAGTCTGGCGGTTGCCTCCGGCAACGCGTTTTCTGCAACGCGTTCCTAATTTTTAGAAAAAAATTTTCAAGTCTGGCGGTTGCCTCCGGCAACGCGTTTTCTGCAACGCGTTCCTAATTTTTAGAAAAAAATTTTCAAGTCTGGCGGTTGCCTCCGGCAACGCGTTTTCTGCAACGCGTTCCTAATTTTTAGAAAAAAATTTTCAAGTCTGGCGGTTGCCTCCGGCAACGCGTTTTCTGCAACGCGTTCCTAATTTTTAGAAAAAAATTTTCAAGTCTGGCGGTTGCCTCCGGCAACGCGTTCCGTATTTTTAAAAAATATTTTTATTTTCTGGCGGTTGCCTCCGGCAACGCGTTTCTGCAACGCGTTCCGATTTCTTCAAAAAATAATTTTTAAGTTTGGCGGTTGCCTCCGGCAACGCGTCTTCTGCAATGCGTTATAATTTCCTTAAAAAAATTTTAATTCTGGCGGTTGCCTCCGGCAACGCGTTCAAGGCATCGCGAATAACATTAAAATTATTTTTCAGAAAAGTATTCAAAATTAGCATTTTTACAAAATTTTCAGTCTCAGACTCAAATTTAAAAATGAGACTCAAGTGTCCTTTTTCTTAAAAAGTTATTTTTTAATTTTCCCATTAATTTTTAGAATTTTTAAAATTAATTTCCACTGATTTTATCCTTCAGACTCAAATGTACCACACTCAGACTCAAGTGACCCCTTCGAAAATATTTTTAAAAAATTTGCCTGATTTTTCCGCGTTGAATGACACCTCATTCATATTTTTCCGATAACTACTTCAAAAGTTACAAAAAACTGCTCAGCGTTGCTTAACTTTCCAGATCGGACGGTCTAGATCGTCAAAATTAAAAAGTTTTTCCCAAAATTTTAATTTCTTAAAAAATTCATAACTCGGTCCAAAAAACTCATTTTAACACAAAACAAAGCTTATTCGATGCAGAATTTAATTCTCTATTTTTCATCTCCCAACACTTTTTTCATATCGTGAAAACTAAATATAGTTAATGTCAACTTTATACATTTTCCTCGAAAATGCACTTTTTACTCCATATCTTTTTTTATGTTAATGCAATCAACTTGAAACCAACTTTTTTCTTAAGAAACCCAATACGCTCTACAACTTTACTCCCAACAACTTTTTGCTCAGACCCCTCTAAACACCTTAAATCTAAAGTTACCACTTTGACAAAAAAGTTGTCAACAGGCACATCTACCCTCCCCGTTGTCCGAACGACTTCAACTCTTTTTCTATCATATTCTCCATGTTGTGGTGCTTCAACCTTGTAACTGACCCAACTTTCCCCGACTTCGTCTTCATACTCATTTTCGCATCCAAAGTTTCGAAAAAACACGTTTTTTCAAAATATCTAATTTTTTCTTCATTGGACCCCAACTTTTGGAGGTTTTCCTGAAAACTACATAGTATTGTGCATCTATAGCAAAAAACCCCACCCCTTTACACCCACTCAAAAGCTCTGGGGACTTTTTTTTAGCTGACTGCCCTTTTACTATTATATATAGATAATTTTTTTTTATTTTGTTTAGTGTAGGAGAATAATCCAGAAAATTATCTTTTAATTATTTTTCCGATCAGTTTAATTTAAAAATTTTCTTTGTTAAATAAAAAAAATAAATTTTTTTCTTTTTTGGATTACGAGGCACTTTTGGATTTTTTCATTTAATTTTTTCATTTAACTAAAGCCCGTCTCTATTAGAAGCCCATATCCGATATAAGCCAACCCAAATTGACTTATTGAAAAATAGGCGCCCAGGGCTTTAATCTAAATCCTTTTATGCTAAAAGGATTTATTTTCCTTCTCTTATAATTTTGAGCGGTTCCCATTTCTATGAGCATTTTCTTTCAATAAAAATATTTTTTTTTTTGGTTCTGAAATATTTTTTTTAGAATTTTGGTTCTCTTCTTAGTCTTTCGAATGATCCGCCTCCATCTCTAAAAACTAGTGGAGGAAGTAACAATCAGAAAATTAACAACAACAACAATACTGCCAAGAATATTTCATCAAATAATTGCTTTTTGCATGCAAATCGTCTTAAAAATCCAACAATTCCTCCACCTTTGATGTGTGAAAATGTTGGGACTTTTGGATTTTTTCATAGTCGAAGGAATGAAAATGCTGGTGGATCTTCTTCTGGAGAACGTTTATCTGCTAAAGGAGGTCTGTAAAATTAATTTTTGTTTAAAAATTAATTTTCTTTATTTTTTTCATTTTTTTGGGTTACGAGCAGGGGTGCCCGAAATTGGAAATAAATTTTCCGCAAGTCAAAAAACACCCAATTTCACGCAATCCACAATTACGCGGATACCCCTGACTCGTTGATGGAGCAAACTTGTCCGTCATTGGAGTACATAATTATAAAATTAAAAAGATTTGACGTTGCTCATATGCTTTGCTATCCATAGGGTTATAAATACAAAACAATTCGATACATAGGACACAAAAATTGTTAATATAATTTAAAATATTTTTAAAATTTTTTAGGCAATAAATTTCAACAGCGTGATACTCAGGACAGTTTTGATGATGACGACGAATTGGTTTTGTTAGACAAAAGATTTAACAATATGGAAAATAACAATGTTTTTGGAAGCAACAAAAATGGTTGAGAATAAGATACTTTTTTTGGGAAAAAAGAAAATATTTGGGGAGTTTAAACAAAATAAATTTTATTAAAAATATATTGCTCATTTTTTGATTGTTTATTGAAATTTTTTCAAAAGAAAATTGAATTTATTAAGATTACCTACCTATATATTGTTATAGTAGTATACATTAAGGTTGGCGGTTCCCGATATCCGCAACCGAAAAAACCCCGGATATTCGGAAATTTTCGGTTCGGATATCTGTTCCGGTTCCGGAGATTTCCCAGGAACCGCCATCCTTATTATACATATTAATTTATTTTTACTCATTTTTAAAATATTATTTGAATTAAAAAATTGAGTAAAATTAAATTAATATTTATTTTTTAAATTTATTTATTGATGTTATCTATTTCAACTCAAAAATTATTCTCTACTCTCAATTATATTTAAACTCAAAAGTGGCTTTAAATTATTTGATAAATATTTATGATAGAATATTTAAATAAAAAATTTAAATCAAAAATTATTTTTTGTCCTGATTATAAGCAAAAAAAATGTTTTTGATAAAAAATTATAAGAAAAATATATTTAATCTACAACAAAAATGGTTGAAAATAAAATTTGTTTTTTTGGGATATATACAATAATATATTGACAGAGGTGGGTCGGAACAGCCTGAGGTGTCGAAAATCGGAAGAGCCGGAAATCAGAAATTTTTCCAAAATTTCGGAAATCGGAAGGAAAAAACGTCAGAAATCGTGATTCCGACCCGCCTCTGTATATTACATTTATCTATGGTTTTATAAATATCATTTTCTAGTTAAGGCAAAGTTTGTTTGTAGAATTGCATTTATCTGGGCAACCCGAACATGGGGTTCCAATTTCATAAACTCCAAGAGTTATAACATTTCCACTAAAAAAAGTATTTTTAAATTCAAAATTTAAGGTGGACATACACAGGATCATAATTGCAGACAATATAAGTTTTATAACGATCACAACGTGCCAGACCACATCCAACTCTATTTGTATTCCACCACGCCATTTGGGTCCAATGGCCAACTCCTCTGCCGTTTTGAGCTCCATTAAATGGAATCCATGTATTATTTTCTTCGGGTCCAAGAGCTCCTTTATATACCAATTCTGACCACCATCCAGAAAGAGCATTATAAAGACCAGTTGCTAAAATATTTAAATGGAATGGATTTCGAATTTTTTAAGAAGAATTTTTTAAATAAAAATACAACTAAATAGGTAATTAGAAAACAACAGAATTGAAGGAACTACGTCTGAAACAGGGCTGTGCGCCAAAATTTTCGCATGGAACACCAAACGCTAAACATCAATTTTTCAAATTTTTAAAACACGCCAAACGCCATGACGCTCATCCCCGGTCTGAAGTGGCAACTCCTCCCATGTTTTTTCTATGTAAATTCTTATAATTTGGAGCATTACTTTTAGATACATTTTATAAGTAGGTAACATTGGGGCTGAAAGTCGGGGAATATTGCCTAACCTACTTCCACCTTCCATTCATATAAGAAATATCTCAAATTGAGGATTATCTAATTAATCTAAAAGCTAGTTTCGACTTTTACAAAAATTTTATTTAAAATTAATTGATGATTACTTTCATTATATTCAGCTGGAAATGCAGAAAAACATTCCCCATAAACATATGTTCCTGAATGACTATATGTACACTTGTCTGCCCATTGTTGAGCAATATTCTCTAAATCAACAGAATAGCTCATTTGTTTAATATTTTTCCCAGTAGGCATATTTTGTCCAGATAAATTAGCACTTTTCCCTTGAGTTAATTGTGAACGGTAATCATTGTGAAGGGAAACAACATAATTACGGCCTTCGGGGGTTAATGTTTTTATTAAATTATATTCGAAAATTGTTATTAAAATAATTGTTGTGAGGAGGAAAAACATATTTAAATGTTAAATTTTGGGGTATTTTGGGTAAAAAGTTATTTTTAAATTCTATTTGGCAGCTTGCATTTAAATAGTAGGAGTAGATTTTGGGGGGGGGGGGGAATTTTCTTATTTACGTAAGTAAAGCAATAATTGTGTTATGATTAATAAATGTAAATAAATATTTTAAAAATTCGTTAACAAAAATAGAAAAACCTCATTTTAGTACATAAATTTAAACAATTTTATGTATATTTATAGATGACTTTCCGTCAGTTTTCAATTTTACGGGGACAAAGACTAAAATTTTTTTGGCCGAGTTTTTTAATTGTTTATTTATCAAAAAAACTTGGATCGGTGTTAACTATAATATATTTTTATGTTTGTTGACAAATATAAAATATAAACCAAAAAAATATTTTGAAAAGTCAAACAAAAGTAGGTAATAGTCACATTTATTATTTTTATTATTTAAAATATTCAAACTAGAAGCAGGACATTCTACCGCGAACCTACTTTACCACTAGGCCATAACTATGTTAACGTAGCAGTTCAACTGAGTCCCGGCCCTATAACTCAAATATGGGTTGATAATTTTTAATGTTTTAGGTACCATTTGATAGAGCATTAGATGGACTACATTATACCAAAAAATCAAAATTTTCGATTGATTGGTAAAAAATTTATGATCCAAAAACTAACTTTTTCAAAAAAATCAGATTTTTCGGCACTTTATCGTCATAACTTTTTTACCAGTCGGTCAGTAATTTTGATTTTTTGGTATATTGTAGCCTATTTAATGCCCTATCAATGGTACCAAGAGCAGAAAAAAGTGACCATCCCTTCATAAGTTATAGGGTCCGGGACTCAGTTGAGTTGTGACTCAATTGAGGTGTACCGCTATGTTAAATATTTCTGGAATCTCTTCGAATCTAATATGATTCGAGAATGTTCGAAGAGATACTTATAATGATATCTCAAAATAGACAAAATTTGACAACCTAAAATTGTTCAGAAACTCTGCGGTAAAGTGTGCCCGCGGTAGAATGGCGGTTGGTGTACCTATTCAAACTACACAATTTTATTAAATATTACGAGAATTTTGTCGTTAAAGTTATTAAATTTCTTTTTTAAATTTCAAAGAGAATCCACGTTTTCTAAAACATTCATTATTTTTTCTTGCACTCCAAAATTATTTATTTCTATTTCTCCAACATTTATGTTAACATTTCTTTTTACTTTCATACGCCTATTTTGAAACCAAATTTTCACTTGCTGTTAAATAAAAAGTTTTTTAAATTTTTTAATCTTTGCTCTTATCATTATTTAATATAATCTGGGGGTATTTTGATTATTTTTACTTATATCCTTCTAGAAATATCAATGAAAAGAGTAAAACAGTCTAGAAATTTTTGATAAAGGTAAAATCTGCATCCAGGGATCTTGAAACAAAATTGGTGATGGGAATCCAAAAAAATCCCAGGATCCCACCAATCCCAAAAATAAATAAATAGCGATTTTGCGAAGGGATCCAATTCCTCAACGATTTCCAGTTAATTATGGTGATTTAATTTTTAAATATTTTCTATAAACATACCGTTTCATTTAAACCCAATTCTCTAGCCAATTGATAACGTCTGGGTCTTGAAAGATATTTATGTTGTGAAAATGATTTTTCCAATTCTGCAAGTTGTTGTGACGTAAATGTTGTGCGCGGTCGTCGGATTCCTTTCGTTATGTTTTGCCAATTCCATACTTTAATTAATTTAAAATAATTTTTTGAATTAACTTTAGAGGTAATTTAAATTGTAATAAAATTAAATTTCGATTTTAAAGACTGGACATTCTAATTTATTTGATTTTTTAAAATTAAATAGCAAAGAACTAGAAACATAGATACTCTTTATTTTATTTAGAATCATTGAATTTTCCAAATATATTTTTATTTCGGCCTAGAAATTTTGTTTAATCATTGGGCTAAATACATAAATGATTATATGTAATAAACTTTTGTAAAATTAAATTTACTAATTAATTTTCATTTTGTACATTTCTATAAAATATGTATATGATTTTTTGATTTATAATAAGTTTAATCTATCAATTAAATATCTAAAAATAATTAACCATATATTTAACCGAATCTGAATTTAATTTAAATACAAATTTAAATAAATTATAAATAATAATTTACAAGTAAAAGCAATTAATTGTTCCCAAGATGAACAAATTGGCAATTGTTGTAATGGATTTGTTGATGAGATTGAAGAAGAAAGTTTAAATTGTTGTTCGTAATCAAAAGTTTTTTCCGAAGAAAAATTATTTTGTTGAGTTAAATTATTTGTTATCATTAATGGAGGGGTTGATGGAAGTAGGGAATTGTTTTTAATAAAAATATTTTGATTAGAAATTGATTTGGAATTTTCTTTTAAATGTTTTTCACTGCAATCATCACTTAATAAACTTTGAATTGTTCGGAACATTTTCTTTAAATTAAAAACAAAAAAATTTTTTTAACGAAAATTATTTAAATTCAAAAGAATTTAGCCAAAAATATTTATATAAATTTAACTACCGTAATATTCTCTCTCTCATTCATTCCTTTCTCCAAAAATTTATTTGGCATTCTCAAATTCCTAATAATAAAAAAGGATATTTGTATCCAAACATCCAATAAGCTTTCCATTTATACCCCAAAAATAATTAATCCATCAAAAGCTGTCAACAAAAAATCAAAAAAAGAAAAACCGCCAAAAAAGCCAATCAACCAATTTGTAAGCAAAGAAACTGCCAAAAATTGAGAAAAATCCCTGAGGATTTAAATATTCGGGTTTTATTTTAAAAGGCGTTAAATGAATATTTTATGTTTTTAAAAGAAAAATAAGTTGAGGTTTTTAAAAATTAATAAATAAATATATTATTTAAATACCTAATTTGCTATTGAATAAGGTTGTCGGATCCGGATCCGAAAAAGGCCGGATATCCGAAATTTTCGGTTAGGATATCAGATCCGGATATTCGAGGATTTCCAACTATCAGACAACCTTATTGTTGAATAATTAAATTTTAAAATTACCTAGACTATTAGAATTATCAGTATTGAGTCATAAACTGAGTTATTTTATAACTCAAAATTAAGTATTTATTATTAAACTAAAAGGATTATTTAAAAATAATTAACTAAAAGATCTGATAAATTAATTATACTAATACTATACTCAAATATATTTTTATTTTTTGAAAAAATTTATTTCTTTAAAATAAAGTAATTTTCAAAATTTTAATAATTCCTAATACATATTTAATTGTTAAATTTATATTCTATTCTATTTTCTTTCAAATAATTTTTTCTAATATTCACCATCTCCATCATCTCCGCATTCAACATCCTTTAAAAAATCAAAAAAATTTTGCTTAATTAAAAAAATTATTTCTTTGTTAATAAAAAATAATTAAATAACCTCATTATTAGAAGCATTAACAGTAAAAAGCAATGCAGCAAAGATAATTGTGTAAATAAATTTTAAGCTCATTTTTAAAATAATTTAATAGATAAAATATATTTATTTAATTTTGTTTTAATTTTAAATTAATTTAAAGGTACTTTATATACCCAAGAATTAAATTTGTTTATTTAAAGGTGTAGACTTTTAATTAAAAATATTTTTAAAAATTTTTGTTATTAAAAATAAATAAAAACTTTTAATTAAGAAAATAAAACAGGTGTAAAAGTACATAGGTAAATTTATTTATTTATTTTAGAATAGATATTATAATATTTAATATTTTTTATAAAACTCTTCAAATGTACTTTTAATTTAAATAAATATTTTTACAATTAGGTAATTGTTTGTCAAAAATTTTCAAATAAAAAATTCAAAAAATTTTAAAATATTTAAACTATTTATTTATTCATATTATTATTTAAATAATTCAAAATTAACCCAAAATTCAACCAAACCAATAAATTCTAATTAATTAAAAATAAAAATAAATAATTTAAATAAAATAAATTTAAAAAGGAATTTTAAATTTATTTATAAAATTCTTTCTTTTGCATAAAAATTTAAAAGTTAATTAAAAAGATTTTATTTGATTTTTATAGAAAATTGTCTAGAAGTTATAAATTTAGATTATAAAAATTTGAATTAAGGATAGTGTTATGAATTTTTTTATCAAGTTTTAATAAATAAATATTTAAAAATTATTAAGTAGCGATTTTAGAAATCGATGTCGCAAATATCTTTAATTTAAATATTAATTTAAATATTACTTAATAATTAGTTAAAAATTAAAAAATCCAATTAACAACCTTCAAAGATATTATCTGTTTCCAATTTAAAAAGAAAAATGCTAATTAATTATATCATTATAGTCAGAAGTTTAAATAAAGGAGTTTTCAATCTTAATAATAAAGGGTCTTTAATTTCAATTTTATGAGGATTACCATTTCTGATTCTCAAATTAGACTTAAAGGATATCCTTTCGGACATTTTCAAAAATGAATATAGAATGTAGGCATTAGACATCGAGGCATTAGACATCGATCATATCTACAAACCAAAATGCCTTTTGATATGTGCTAAACACAAACAAAGCATAATAAAAGAATTATTTAAATATCTACATAGTTAAATTCTGGGAAACGATTGTAATTTAATTCTTAAGAAATTTTACTCATATTTTAATTAATTAAATTCTTGCCCTTTCATTGTATTTCAAAATTTAAACACCTACATATTTCCGAGAGAGACATATCTTAAAGCTTAATTTAAAGAATTTTAAATCTTGATAATGAATGCCCTTTGATATGTGTTTTACTCGAATTTCTCTCTAAGCTTAAAGATCGAGCCAAAAATTGTCTTACATCATTTCATGTGATATTTAAGTCGGTAACGATAAAAAGGACAACAGACTTTTACTTAGAGTTCAAGCCAAAATTGTATTTACTTTTTATATTTAAAGTGCATCTTAATAAAATACAAGATGTGGAATATATAAAATTGTAATATCAAATAAATAAATTTTGTCTATTTAAGCTCCATCAGAACTTTATACAATTTATAGCTTAGCAGAATAATTCATACTACAAAATAAATATTATTTTATTTTTTATTTTAAATTAATTTTTTGTTTTTATTTATGTTTTGAACGGGTTTGATCGAAATTTTTATCCTATAGTGCTAATCAAAGTATATTTTAACATCTTTTAGAAAATGTATAAATTAATTCTTTTAATTATTTTTATTTTAATTTTTGTGAATATTTCACAACCTAACAAAAGTTGTAAATATTCGAAAAATGGGAAGGAAAATAAAATTTCCCTCCGTAGACACAAAAGAGGTTTAAATTTCAGGTAATAGTAGACTTTATACCCGTCTTTTTTATTCATATGTACATAATGGTCAGCATTTCTTCATTCTCAATTTCACTATATTTTTCATGGCCTATGCCGTGAATCACCAGTTTCTGCGAGTTGAACCTAAGCCAGCATTGAGTATGTTTAAAGTTTACCATATTTTCTTTCAATTTTTTGGAATATTCACCCAGTTATGGTACACGGAATAGGAATAGTGCTATTGGCTGGGGTATTGGCAATTTGGCATGGGTTTTAATTGCAAAAGTTGATGAATCACAGCATAGGCTGTTCTTTCATCTACATATGCTACACGGAAATAGAGTTAAATTGAAAGGAAGAAAATCTGACCATTATGTACGTATTTATGGATAAAAAAGGGAGGGGAGAATAATTTCTTATTTCTTTAAATAAAGTCGTAATTACTTTCCAAATACAAAAAATGATTGTGAAGAAGAAACAATTTCTGTAGACAAATTAACTAAAAAATTTGAAAAATTAAGTTTGAAAGAAAAAGGAAAAAGGGGTTTGTATATTTGTGACAACTATTTCTACTCACATACAAAATTTAATGTAATTATTATTTTAATTAAAAGGCTCCACTATAGTGTATCTATTCGAAAAAAGATTATTCGATTTGTCTCGCTGAACCGAGTCGAGCGGTACAACTCTTTATTTCAACAAATGAAGTCGAAAAATCAGACAACAAATGAAGTCTGATTTTTGAGTTTAAGAAATCAAATATGCAAATAGAATCTTATTTTAAAGAGCTCCATATATGTTCCGAATAGAACCTTTGCGTCCGATACTCTATATATATATGTATATTTAATCAAAATATTTAATCATTTCTTACAAAAATGGATAACTGTTACAGACCACATATTTTACTTTAAAACCGTTAAATGATCACAAAAACTTTTAATTAACTTAAATTTTTATTGGAGGTTGTACATATTTGAAAATGAGTCAAAATTTAAAAGTTTATGCTGTATAGAAAATCATTAAAGTTTTAAATTTTTAATTAAAATTTTCAGGAAGTATTGGCCAACGTTTTAGCTGAAGAATATGAAATGGTAATTACTTTAATTTTTATTTAGAAGATCAGTTTAAATACATAAATCTATCACAACCTGGTTCTCTCAAAAAAACTTAAATGGATCTATGTAACTTAAATGGGATATACATATAAAAACAAAAAATTGGATCTATTTTTTGGCATTTCCATACTTTTTTTAGAGGAGATATAGAGAAATCTACTTATTTTTTCAAATTCCCTTAATTGCAATATCCTCTTAATATCCCCACAGATATCTAAATCCTAAGATATCCTTGGACCACCAGATGGACATTTACCTAACTAGATAGATGATAATTTCTTTTTTTAATCATGATATCCAAAATTTTTGGTTCGGTTCCCAGTCCGAACCAAAAATTGTATTTCCTAATCCGCCAATTCTCATCTCGACTTTGAGCATACATTAGGCAAACAGGCTCATTTTATAAAAATTTTTTATAATTTGGATTTATTTCGGATCAATCAAGAAATCTCCTTATTGCATATCTTCTTAATATCCCCACTTTTCCATTCATACAAGGATATTTTCAATATCTTTGAATTAATGTTTTTAAAATTTTGCTCAGGATTTCTTTATCAATCATTCCATTTCTTAAAATTTCATTTGCAGGATGTAGTTGTTTATACACGAAGTGTAGGTGGACAAAAAGTAGACCCAAAGAATGTTAATTTAATTATTAATGTTCCAATAAGTGAAAATAAATTGGATAAAAATATAATAAAAAAAGAAGGTCTTGCAGAAGCTTTTAATGAATTTCAAAGTTATAATATAAAATTTTATATAGGAATTTATGAAGGTAATAAATGTTATTAAAATTTAATATCCCTTTTAATCTTCAAAGAAATAATTTCAAACAAACAAGTCAAAATTGGAGAGGAAATGGTTGGAGTTTATGACTGGTTAAGCAAACAAAAATATTCTTTTGGAATTGCCGAATTTAATTTTATTGTTGGCCCTTTTGCTGTTTTTGAGGCTTTAGGAATTGAGAACACTTTTGATGTTTCTGCTGTTCCATTCATACAAGGATATTTTCAATATCTTGGAATTGATACTTTATACAATATTCCAGGTATTTTATTTGTGAAACTAGAAACTAAGTTAGAAAATATTTATCCCGAAAAACATCTATAATTTGATAAACTAGATTTAGTAAAATAGGTAAAAGTCGAACCCGAAGTAGGCATAGTTTAGGGGTTTAACTTTCATTATCTAAATCTGAAGTAGGGCCTGAAGGGGATATGATAATACTCTGATTTCCTCGGAATCTCAAATCATCTGATATTTCTACAAACCGAGAAATAAATCATCATCATCAAACCGGGGAATAAATCATGAGCCCATGTGACTTAAAATCAGTATTTCAGCACCACAGTTGAAAATTTTGAAATTAAATTCCCGTATTTATTCTAATAGAACCACAGTGGTTCTATTTTTCAACCCTCCAATTTTGTGTGGTTATATTAGAGACTGTGGTTCAAATAAGACTGTGGCTTTATTTTTCAATCTTTTTTTGAAAAATAGGAAAAATATTGGGAATTTTCTTGCCATATTCTCCAAAAATAATTATAATTTTTAATCAATTTGGTGGTTTCTTTACTCAAAATTCTCTAGATTAAAGAACTCGACGCCGGATTTAACTAGAATGTCGATTTTCTGTAATAAGACTTAACGCCCAACTCGGTTTCCTAGCAAGAAAACCTGGTAAATTTATCAAATACTTATAAAATACTCCTACAACGTTGTTGTATTAAAGTCATAGGATTTGGGATGGAGGCATTATAAAGGATATTGAAGGATTTGAAAGGATATCGACTTTTTAAGTCATCCTAATCATTGTTAATCTCCCAAATCCTAGAATTGATCAAATTCTCCTTATCTTCTTAATCCTCCCAAATCTTTCTATATTTCCTCCTAATCCACCTGTTGTAGATAAGTGAAAGAGATCATGAACTAGTCAAACATTATTAATCCAATTCGACTGATACTAGCTTTTATAATATTATAAATTGACATAATCAAATGAATTCCGTATCCCTCAATATCCCTCGTAATCTCTTAAATCGATATCAGTATCCACTTATTTAAAAGTATGAGAGAT